TATTTCGATGCCTGGCTCAACTGGACGTCCTTCTGCAAACTGTCGGCTGCATCTCCCCACGATCCTCCGCCAGGCCTGCTGCCGGACTGGTTGAAATCACAGTCCAGCCGCCAAGGTCTGGCCACGATGCAACTCCGAGCACTTGCATGGTTTTGCAAAACGGCTGGACTGCCCAAACTCCAGGTCTGTCTCTGTACACCCATCTGTCAGGCGTTCTCCGTTGCCTCGCATCCGACCGAGCACCGCGAGAGTTTGCCATTAAGCCTCAGCTTTGTCCTGTATCTGGAAAAGTGTATCCTGGATCCGCATACATGTCATGCCGAGATTCTGCGCATTGGTTATTTGCTACTTTGTGTCTGGGGGTCGCTGCGCTGGGGGGATGCCCTCTGGTGCCCGCCTTCCCGCCTCCACTACCAACCTCAATCGCACGCTCTGGTGGGCATCTGTCTCCGGACTAAAACCACCAAGCGCGGCATGCCTTTTGGCATCTTGGCGGCAGGACTCTGCGGCACGTCTTCTCAGTGCTGGTCTCTTCGCTTCCTGAGTGTCCTCCGCCAATCTGTTGCGGACACATTAGCTCTCAATCCACAGCGACACCTCGACTTTCTGCCTTCCTCTCTTTCCGGTTCCGACGCTCGGCCGATCATTTCCGCTCCCTTGAAGCGTGAGCGTATGGTTCTCTGGCTACGCGGTCTTTTGCTCAAGCACTGGCGTCTGCTGACCCAGGAACCTGCTCCCGCGGCTTTTGGATTAGTCGCTGCTCACTCGTTAAAGTGTACATTGCTGTCCTGGGCTAGACAGCTACATCTGGACTCCGACCTGCGTCGGATCCAGGGTCATCACCGCCAGTCCGGCTCTGACCGCTCCGTTTCCCTTTACAGCAGGGATGATATCCTACCCATGTTGCGCCTCCAGAGACTGGTGGTCGATGCTGTCCGCTCGGGCTTCCGGCCGCTCCAGCCTATGGCACGCGGCCTATCTGAGCCGCTTCCTGATTTCCCGGTGACTCTTCCTTCTTCGGCTTCGCTTCCGGAATTGGGTCCGCTGTCTGCTGACTGTTTACCGGAAGCCCTGCCCGTTCGTCCTAATTTGCCTGTCCTGCCCTCCCTGCCGGGCGACACTACGCAGGCATCTGACGCGGACATCGACTTGGAGTCTCTGTCATCCGAATCGTCTGAGTCATCGGCGGACGAGGCTCCGGTGCAGGATGCTCCATCTGCCCTTGCTGCTCCC